GAGAGAGAGAGAGAGAGAGAGAGAGAGAGAGAGAGAGAGAGAGAGAGAGAGAGAGAGAGAGAGAGAGAGTTACCTTCAGAAATTGACCCATACAAGCCTTTTTCTTCAGGACGTCAGCATCCTCTTCACCCACTGATTCACTGCATGTGTTGTTGTCAATAGTCGCCCCCTTCAACCCATTCGTAGAGTGATCCAGTCCAGATACCTCGGCCCTCAAAAACTGCTGCTCCAGTCCACTTCCCCCGTCCTGCTTTAGAAACGCTGCCACTCTCTGTCCATTCCACAACAGGCTCCATATTGCAGATGATGCAAGTAGCCTTATTTCAAGAGCAGGGTTTCGGAGCGCAGCCTGCACAAGCAATCTTGTCGGTCGAGGGTCAGAGATGAAACGGGCCTTGTTTTCAGCACAAAAGGCCAGGTTTCTGAGAAGGAAATAAGCAGACAAAGACACTGCTGAAGTTGCCTGCTCTGCCACATCCAAAACCTGTATGAAGTGAAAGAGACAAAAGCACCACAAGTTGCCATGAGAAATAAACATGACTAATGTAAGTCCCTAAACAGCAGTCCAACTCCCCCTGACCTCAGCAGGATCTTGAACTCAACGAAACCTGCCTCAACTACAATTCAAATTTGACTTGAACCTCTGAACATGACAGCATTTATGGGGTTGCAAATGTGCCCACAATCACTGAGTCTAACCTCCAATGCACACACTGAAACTGAAATTAATGACAACAAAATGCTGAGGTTAAATCCTGTGAGCAGGGAGTGTTAAAAACACTCAGTGGAAGACTTGGAATGCATCAACTCACTGACCAGATGCAAGCACAACACTCACATGAGACACTTTGGGCGATGATGATCTTCGCACCCATGAGATGCAGGGAGGGGATACATATAAGACCATCTCCCCACACAAATCATCCAGTGACGACAAAGAAGAAGAACAAGAAAAAGAAGAGAACGGCAATGGTGATGATGACAACAGAGGAGAAGAAGAAGAAGAAGAAGAAGAAGAAGAAGAAGAAGAAGAAGAAGAAATGTTGCTAGCACCCACTCTCCCTCTCCAGTCGCTCTCCTTATACTAATGAAGCCAGCGCAGCTGCGGCATTCACAGGCTTCCCTTGGGGGCCTAGCCCAGATTATGGGCGCCCTGTAGCCGCACAACGATGGGCGTAGTACATTTTCTGCCACTTTGTTCATCCCCTTCAGGCAGGAGTAGTAATTTTTTTTCGTCAGTTCTGTTTATTTTTATTTTATTTCTTCATCCACATTCTCAGATTTTTTGTCTCTTTTAATATCTGCTTCATTTTTTGTGTGTTCTAGGATAGTGTTGTTCTGGATTCCTGATGTCTGCAAGTGGTGCACCTGGCTCACACATTTTGGCTGTTCGAGACCTTGGGGAACTTTTTCTGCATTATACGGCTGTGCCTAGTCCAGTCCTTGTCTGATTCTAGGAAAGCAAGGATTCGTTGATTGATTGATTGATTGATTGATTGATGGATTGGTTGATTGATTGATTGATTGATTGATTGATTAACCTAATTTATCTTCTTTTTTTTGTTACTCTGCCTAGCTGTCAAAATTCCGAATTCTTTTTCTTTCTGAATTTCGGAATTGCAAGGAATATGGGTGCGACGCTCAAGGCCTCGATATGCCCTACTGGGCTCTATTTTCAGTACAGTCGGCCGCCCTAAGTGAAGGCAGGCTCGACCAAGGCCTACAGGCCCATTTTTGGGGTCACCACGCAACTGGGGAAATTCAGGCAGTTGCACAGCGCCAGTTGGTTGAGAGCGCCCAGGCCCAGGCTGCCTTTTTCGTATGTAACTGAGGCAGGCCCTGGGCCAGATACGCAGCATGGGCCAAACACAGGCTGTGAGCAGTTGGGCACAGGAAACCACCACAGGCCCTGCGCCTGATTCGTTCGGACTGGGGCTCAGCCTCATGGGGCCTACCGGAAGCTTCTGGACTTAGGCCCAATGCAGGCAGGCCGCACGCAGCAGGCAGGTCACTTCCATTTAGGAAAGTGCCTGGCCCATCACTCCTCATTCGGGCACTGGCTGCATGCTGCGCAAGCGCTGCTGCGCTAACGCTGGCCAGCGCTCACGCGCTCACGGGCGAGCTGGATGAGCAGGCAGCCATAGCCGAGCTGCGCGGCTGTATGCTGGATGGGGCGCATGGTGGTCCTTGGGTGCATGTGGCATCTGTGAGTTGGGGATCGAGGTTATGAGTGATGCGAGAGACATACCTGGTGCTTGATGCGAACGGCATTGGCCGAGATCTGCTCGTACTTCGGGGAGCTGTTGACGTCATCAGCGGCATTGTAGATAGTCTAGATAGGATCTGCCATTTGTAGTCTGGGCGCCGAGCGCCAGATAGGATGTCAACATTGGTTTTTTGTTGATGATGATGAGACTATTCGAACATTGACACTTATGAACTTTTGCTGTGCTCTTATTTGGTGGGACTCGTGCTGCAATTCTGCTTTTGGTTCAAGGTCACGACTATCTGGTCTCATGTGTATGATGCTGCTTGGTTTCTGAAGTTCGCTATCGCTCATTTTCCTTGCAATTTGGTATCCGAGCTGTGGTTCGGTGCGCTAATCTGGTGCTTGTCTTCTGCCTATGCGGTACATGCATGCGGTCTGTTGGGCGAGCGGCCGTGGGAGGTGTGTAGTGAGGAGGGCGAAGGCAAGTAGGGCGACCCAGGAGGTGAGGGGTATCGCCAGGAAGGCTACGTGATGTAACATTGGGTGTTCGCAGTGTGATGAGAACTATCCGATGTGCGATTGATGCTGAGGTGGAACGGCCGAGTAATGCTGGTTGTGCCGAAGCAGCGATTGGTGATCACAATCGGCATCAGGTCATCTGGTGAGAATATATGTGGTTGGGGGCAGCTATTTTGAGGTACTTTGCACCTAACCTTATCTACCCTCTTCAACACTCCTTACCGCGAGGATGTGTGTTCTGTCTTGAGAGTCCTCTCCTGTGAGGAGTCGAGTGCGCTCAACCTTGAGAGTCGTCAGTGTTCACGTGGAGCATCTGGAAGGAGAGGGAGGAGCTATCTGAAGGGCCTGGACGAAGCAGTGGTCACGGTCACCATGCCAACCCACCGGGAGCAGAGCACGCATGCTTTGCTGCTTTGTCCTTGGTCTGCCTGTTGTGCTGTAGATGGGTTCTGAGGGGCAGGCCAGCCTTACAGGAAAGACGAGTACCGGACGTCTATAAATAAGTACCGGCGGGGACCTTCCATTGGCTGTGATCGTCGTCCTGTTTGCGACGTTAAATAATTCCTGAGGACTTCGGGGGCCATCCATAAAAACGCCTCCTGATCAGCCAATCGGTCGGTGTAAGGCTTGCTGCACGCCAAGATAAATATTGTGCACGGCTGGCCAGCTCAGCAGGACTCGGGGCACGCACACTATTCCGGATTGCTCAGGGACGCTGCCGACAAGAGACATTAAAAAAAAATTGAGGGAGGGGTCGATTCCAGGTGATAAGTTTGGGCAAAATTCCATTCTGCAAACAGTCCCAACAAATGATTCTATTTTTATTTTGATTAGTTAGATGTACAGCCATTAACATCTGACAGACAGTATAGGTAGAAACAGTTTCTGCTCAATTACTTCTCTGTTTGCGGACTAGTCAAAGTAAAATAGTTGTCGTTTGCAGGGATCTGAACTTACTTGTGGGACCCAAATGTATAGTCTCTGACATAGCGACCGATTATTGATATTATTTTATTTTAAATTGGTCTGTGCATTATGCTGCGGTAGGCATCGAGTGTGACCTAGTGCAGATTGTGTATAATTTTGTAGCTTATGAGCGACAGGGAGACCACTAGCGAGGACGACAGGATCTTGCGATCGGCTAGAAGCCCGATAGCTCACGTGGCATTAGACCCGAGGCGCAGCGTTGTCGAGCCCCGGGCCCAAGGCCCCGGCGGGGGTGCAGGGGTCCGGGGTTGGGCACCCCCGACCTAGCTCTGCCCCCCCACCCCAAAAAAAAAAAAAAAAAAAAAAAAAAAAAAAAAAAAAAAAAAACGGGGGGTGTGCGCCTCCGCCTAGCTGGCCTTGGCAGTTTCTGCATTTTGCAGAAAATAGCCCCTGTCAGGCCCCCCCGCCCGGGGTCACAACCACCCCAAGCGGGCCCCGGGTCAGCCCGCCGCGGGGGCGGGGATGCTCCGCCAAGCATTGGCTGCGGGCGTCCCCAGGCGGGAGGGCGGGTCCGGGGGTCGCCGCGGGGGCGCTTGGGCGGGGGTTGTGGGGCCAGGGGCCGGGGGTCGGAGCGAGGGCGGGGGTTGTTGGCGGGG